TTTTTTCTCGTTTGTCGAAAGACGCGACTGAGTCGACAGAAATCGATCTAAATACCGAAAGAACTGCAAAAATAAAGTTTAGTTCCGTTATTATTCCCCATTTTCGTCGACATCTAAATCCGAACCTGCTACGCAAAGGACGTATTTGTTTTTCTCTTTTTCTTTTCCTTTTTTTTTTTTTTTTTTTTTCTTTTCTTTTTGCTGTTCGCTCGTCCACGTTTCTACGTGTTTCGGGATTTCGCGAGACGATGTTTGCATTCTTTTTTAATTATACGTATTCCTTTCGCTGGAGGGGATGTTTTTCGTTTTTCTTTTCTTTCTTTTGTTTTTCTAATGGAATGTGATAAATGATTGAGACTATTCGATAGTAAGATGAAACGATGTTAAAAAGAAGAAAAAAAATTGAAAGAGAAATTAGAAATAAGATGTCTCCGCGCCCCGGTGGTGTTTGTTTTACGAGCGGAAGCTGTCGACAACCTCTTACCCAAGAGGCACGATCTACCGCTGCAGGAATCGAGGGTGACGTAAGAGCGAACCTGTTAAGGGCTCGATGCAGGGGGAGCGCGAAGGGTCGAGTTTTGGAAGATAAAAGAAAGACCAACTGTTGAATATCGGCCAGCCACTCGTCACTCGATCGATTCCTACGATCTGTCTCTACCAACGATTTCCATTCGAATACTACCTGAAACGCGTTCTAGGTATAACCAATAACTCTTACTTACGTTCTCCCGTGTGTCTCTCGGAAATTCTCAACTGCCTCTCGTCAACTACGTGTCTCGCGCCTCGACTCGCCGGTGTTGAGGCGGTTCAGGACCACGAAGTCTCAGTGTCTTCCTCTCTATCTTCGGTCGATCGCCAGATCGGTCGTTTCTCTTCAGCATGCAGAACGAAACTGTGCGATAACAAAACTATTGTCTTCGAACGAAGAGCAAGGACGCAAAAGCAAAAGGGGACGGGCTGTGTTTGGCCGAGAGAGTGAACGAGAATGGAAAAAAGTCAACCGGCGATAGCGGTGAACGCGGCTGAATCGTGGGCTGAAAAGACGCGTCTATTGGAGGGCTTGACTCGCGGCGACGACGCGCAAAAGCTCGACAGCTCCGCGAACGCACGTGCAACTCGGCCGCGTGGCACGTGGTGTTTGTCGGAGTGGCTCGGCTCGAAAGCCGCTCAGCAGAGCTTGCAAGCTCTCGAGCTTTCATTGGCCGATGGGTGGAAACTGCGCATGATTGCGGGTGTGGCCTGAACTTAAGGGGCGGAATAAGCTCGGGGTGACGATAGGACATCCCGAAAGGGGCACGTCTTCGTGGGTTGTCCACGTTCCTACGCTATCCCACCCCTAACGTGCTTTTTCCTTAAGCTTCTAACGAGCGTGAGAACCGTCTCTCTCTCCCGTCCGAGCTTCGGCAACTTGCGAACCTGACTTCTTCGATCCGGAGAATCCACCGACACAGGAGGCCAGTCGAGGGTGAGACTAGAGGGGGCTAGGGGGGTAAGTGAGGGTGAGCGAGGCGAGCAGAGTAATTAAGGGAAACTAACGACGTCGAAGATTCTCCGAGGACACCGGCCGATAGTTAATGCCACCCGTCACCGTATTATTCATCGAACTTTTTGCCAGAACTTTCGGACGGTGTCGCGGACGAGGAAACGTTAGAAGGGGAGTTGGTATCGTCCGTACCAACGGTCTTGAATTTTAACGACGGGATAACTAGGTTGGTAAAATAAACTCGAATGAAATACAAATTGACGGCGAAACGGGTTTCTGATCGTCGAGGGTTAATTTTTTTCGTCGTTCGAACATTAGAAAATAGATTGCACTCGCTCGGTTCGTCTTCGTCATTAGCGGACGAGGCAACTTCCTCGCGTGCACGCCAGCCAGCCAAGCATCATTGATCGACGCAACGTATTTTTCTTTTGTAGCAACAGGTGGAAGTTATTTGGCATTAACGCTAAAAGACGCAGAAACGTTGATGCGTGCGAAGCGTTTTTCTGCCATCTTCAGGAGGGGGGAGGGGAGGGGAAGTGGAGGGAGGGGGAAGAGTGTGTGTGTGTGTGTGTGTGTAGAACGATCGTTAACAAATCAGCTGGATTGTCCAATGTTTGACGAGGTCGCGCATCCGCGGTAAAGCGAAAGTCTAATCACGGCCGACCGATAAATAAATCGGCCTAGCTAAACAGCGAATCAGTTAGGAGGATGGTGTGATTTTAGGGAAGAGCACGCGGCCTGGCCCGATTCACGGGCGTAAGGGGGGAGGGGGGCTGGAAGGGGGCGCAGCGGGGCTGCGGGACTTCCATCACGTATTTACACGGTATGCTTGCTGATTGGCGTGCACGACTACCAACGTTTTAATGATTTACCCCTGGAGAACGGCGTTTAGCCTAGGACGACTGTAACATGATTTATTATCGACTCGTCGTTCGCGCCGTAATAAACGTAATCCGATTATAAGCAGTCGAAATCAGTCGCCGCGATGCTTTTTCCAGCCGTAGCTCCCACTTTGGGAGAAACTATTCCGAATGACGACGACCGGTACGTCGCTGCTCCGCGGAAGCTCCGCGTAGCGGAAAATTAACTTGACAAGCACAGACGAACATTAATGGTCTGTGACTGACGTAACCGTATAATTCATCCAACCGCGTTAGATCGTTCCACGATCTAGCTTTCGTTCGCGAAGGCGTTTGTCTTCGTCCACGGGAACAGCGACGACGACGACGACGACGACGACGAGGTTGAGGGGCGCGTAAATACGTAATGAGCCGTCGCGTCGTCTCGATTCGGCCGACCAATTATATATAACGCCAACTATTGATTGCAATTATGACGGCGACCGGTGGCAAGACTAGCGCGATACGGATATAGCAGCCGATCGCTATTTCATAAATTCGCAATGACGCACGGCCCGTCCGTGAGTGACGCGTCATATATCGCGTAACGGTGAACATTTACGCGCTACTCGCCACGCACATAATTGCAATTAGAGCGGAATTCATTTACATCAGGCCCGACGTTCGATTTGTTCAGGGAGAAAGCGCGGATTTACACGGTCGCGATGGTGCAGCACGCATACGCCCCGTACCGATTTATTCCCGTGCACGTCAATCTGACCGCGGTGTCGCGATGTAAACGAGATTAGATTAGCCTAAAGGTCGGTGCCAGCGTTCGCCGGACCACCGCGCGCAAGAAAGAAAGAAAAAAAAAAATGAAGAAAGGAAAGAAAAAGCTGAAATAAAATTTTTATTCGTCCTCGTTGATCGAACGACGCAGAGTATCGGTCCACGTCGAAGAAGCGTGCTCGACGTGGAAATCGGATTTTCGTGATAGTACCCGCGAAATCGCCCCACCCCATTGACAAACACCGTTCGATTTTAAATATTTACGCTGCTCGGCTATTTTTTCACGCATCGGATATTCCATTCGCGATACGACGCTGCCCGCCCAGCCCCTCCGCCCCGTATCGATGAGAATTTATCGTCGAAATGCGATTTTATGAAAATTAACGCTGTTTTGGTCGGTTGGATAAATAAACAAACAGATAAATAAATTCCGCGCGTTTATTATTTTAGAAGAGCGCTCAAGAGTACACCGCCGTTTGTGTGTTTGTTTAACAAACGCGATAATAAGGGAGAAACGGAGAAATTGTTAACGTAGAGAATCAGCGGGCACGCATGGACGATCAGCGACGGGGAAAATTTCCGAGGAAGAAGAGAGAGAGAGAGAGAGAGAGAGAGAGAGAGAGAGAGAGAGAGAGAGAGAGAGAGAGAGAGAGAGAGAGAGAGAGAGAGAGAGAGAGAGAGAGAGAGAGAGCAAAATCATAGACGCTCGTTCTGAAAATTCGATTTTTTTAAACACCATCCACCGGCACGTTACCGCCACGATCAGGATTAAAAGCTAATTCAAGCGATTCAGTTTAATTGAGCGATTAACGGCTAAATAAAGCCCATCCCTCTCTTTCTCTCTCTCTGTCTCTCTCTCTCTGTTCACCCTCGTGCCGCTTGTTCGTCCTCTTCAATCTTCATGCTTCTCTCTCTCTCTCTCTCTCTCTCTCACACACACACACACACACCGATCCTCATCCCCACCAGCTTTTAGAACAAATCGTTCGTGATGGTGTCCAGCCCGGTGGAAAATATAATTCAAAGATATTTATGGCTGGATTACCGCTGGAATTGGGTATCTAATATACATGACCGGTTCCACAGGCCGGCCGGACTTTAACTGTCCACCAGGGGGTTACGTTCTGCCCTTTTAAAACGACACCAACCTCGCCATTACCGCGTAAACGCCGAGCAATTACGCGACCGCGCGTTACCAAAAAAAAAAAAAAAAAAAACAAGAAAAAAAAACGGCGCGTTACCAAGATTCACGTGGCAACGTGAAAATATAACAACTAAATTCTCAACGGCGTTGTACCGGCGATTCGTGAAGAGAGCCAGGCGGACGAGGGACAAGAGTTTCCCGGTGATCCTGGAAAAGGATTAGCCGCAATTGATAGCCACGAGCATGGAGGAACGTGCTTGAACCTGGCGTTACGCACCGCACCGTCCACCGTCCAACTATTCGCGATTTCAGTTGTTTCGAAAGTTTGCGTGCTACCGTGTTCAGCTACCTTAACGAGCGCAGGTCGAGCCCAACAGGCAAGAAAAGAGAAAAATCGAGCGACTCCGAGGAGGAATCGGAGGATCGACGTAATTATTTGATATCGTATCGTGTCTGTTATCTCGGATCAAATACAACCAGCGTGACTTTGAAATGAAAAAAATTTATCGCTCGTTAGGATACCGATCCGTTGCCCGGGTCGTTTCTATCCCCGAAGGGGATAGAAAGCGGCCGTAGAACGTGCCGAACGCGGAATTAATTAGAAGCAGCTGCCGACGCGGAGAGGCTAAACGCGATCGCGCAAGGGTAATTTTGATCGTGATCCAGAATTAGGGCCAGACTAGTGTCCAGTATTCAACGTTCTGCATTGTCCGGTGGTTAGTGCCGGACCAGATGTCGCCACGGGCGTGACGTCACTGGTTAACTACCCTTTCGCAACCAACACCACCACCACATGGCATCGCCACCGTCAACCAACCCTCCCCTCCCTGTTACCTTCACCGCACCCGACGGACACGATATACGGGGATGATTCTGATTAATTACCGATAGTTACACAAGCTGACGCCACGCCGTTGACAACCCTCGTCAACAGCGCGGACCTTTCTCCCTCCCGGGTTCGCTATCGAAAATCGCATATCCGATTAACTTCTTCGAACCTCCAGAGTTCCCGCGTTTCGTGCTTTTTTTCTTTTCTCTTTTTTTTCTCTCTCTCTTTTCCTTCCCAATAAGGGAAAGATCCTGTTAGATCGAAATATCGAAGAGAAAATTTAGTTTCAGTTGAAAACGCGATCGAACGATTTGCGAAGAGGAGAGTCTTTACAGAGTCAAAAGACAGAAAGCACAAAGTGGCACAACTAGGAACGAAGCACCGAGGCAAATCCGTTTATCGATTCGTCGAGGTTTAATTCATTCAGAGGGCCGCCGGGAAGGATTGTTATGCGAGAAGGGATGAAAACGCGCGAGAGCAGTAGCATCCCCTCGCGAGATGCATCGAGCCACGACCGACCGATCGGACCACCAATATTTGGCAATTACGAAATATGAGTTTACATTTAATAATTGCGGTAAACACCGGCGGACGCGGCGAGTGGCCACAGGGGGTGAACCCAACGAGATATGGTCGCACGTTCGTTCGTTCGTTCGTTCGTTCGTTCGTTCGTTCGCTCGTTCGCTCGTTCGTTCGTTCGTTCATTCGTTCGTTCGTTCGTTCGCTCGCTCGCTCGCATTTGGGGTAAATTCCGATTTACTCTCCGTGATAGGCATTATTCGACGCAGCCCGCGACTACGTTTTACTCGCTCCAACACGCCGCGAACCTCTGTTTCCCTTTATCATCGTCCGCCGAGATAAATGCCCGCCGCACCCCGAAACTTTTTGTTCACCATCCCCCCTTGTGTGCGCTCCCGAACATACAAGCACACGCGTGTACACGCGATCAGCGTGCGCCAGCGCGCTTCCCAACTTTTCACGCTCGCGTCTGCTTTCGACGTGCGCGTATTTGCTTTTTTCCCCTCGATTTGCCTCTTCTTCCCCTCTCCTCTCCTCGTTCCGCCTCCTTTTTCTTAC